GGGGTCTCTGTATTGCAAAAGAAAAACCTGGAACTACATTCCTCAAAATCCCCTGCCATGCATGATTCCAAGTTATAATTTATTAACAGAAGGTATATATATATATATTATATATATATATATATATATAATCTACTGTCATGTGTAACTAATTAAAACAAATAAAAATATATATATGGCATAGAGTGCTTTGCCATTTGTAAACAGCTATAGTCAATATGAAGTAATACACATACACACACACACATATTAGTTGTAGGTGAACAAAATACCTTTATTTTATTTTTATGTGCTGCTGAGGATTGAACCCAGTGCCTCACGTGTGCTAGGCAAGTACTCTACCACCAAGCTACAACCCCATTCCCTGCCAATGCCCTTTTATTCCTCTCTAGACTTGGTTGCAGATACATTGTATTTATCAGGCTTCTATAGAGCCTTTAGTCACTTTTCCTTGAGTTTTTTTGTCTACTTAAAAGAGTTTACTGAGGTCCACATAATCAAATCAGAGATCTTACTAGAAGGCCTGAACATCACACCCTCAATTCAGCATTGTCTTAAATAGCCTTTTTGATTCAAGGCATTTTAAAATTTTCTCATAAGTTGAACGAAAACAGTTGCAACTTTCAACCTTATAAGTCTTGAAATTTGTTTTATATTCTTTTCCCTATAATACTAGCTTGAAAATAAGCCAATTTTATGAGCATCCCTTGCTTGTAGTATTTTAACAAATGCAGCTAAAACTAACCAACCCATGCTGCCAACATTCTGTCTTAAAACCTCTTTACCCACCACACTTTTCATGCAAGTTTTTAGGACATTGATTTTACCAAATTGTGCTATTGTTTAAGGAGGGTTTGTAATTTTACGTTTTTCTCATTTAAGCATTGGCTCTTAAACCAAGACCACATATTTTCAGGCTTTTTTATGGTAATACCCCACTGTTGGTACTAGCTTCAGTATACTTATATTCTAGCACCAAACAACCCCCAAATCTCAGTGACTAATAACAACAAACTTTTCCTTCTCATTTGTGGCTATGAGGTGAACCCTGCTTGCTCCATGTGTCTTCTCATTCTGGACTTTTGACTGACTGATGGAGTAGTCTTAGTTATCATGGTGAAAACAGGAGCAAGAGACTAAATGAGTTTACAGCTGCTGCTCAGATATAATTCACAACTCACATGCAGTTGGCCAAAGCAACTCATGTGGCCAAGCCTATAGGAAGGCAAGCCTGTTTATACTCTTGCAGAGGAGGAAGTGTATAATTAAAAACAAGCACAACACCTACCACAGTTTTTTAATATTGTCTTTAGTCAGAAGCTAAATATGGGTGAAGAAGTTAACTATAGATGTGGGTTAGCAATCCTGAATCACCATTCTCTTCTGGGGTCTCTGTATTGCAAAAGAAAAACCTGGAACTACATTCCTCAAAATCCCCTGCCATGCATGATTCCAAGTTATAATTTATTAACAGAAGGTACTTAAATTTTGTGGAAAGGAGAAAAGAAGCCATTATTCTCTGGAAACAACTGTAACCAGACATATGGGTACACATGAGTCATAGCAGATTTCCAGTAAGTTCTTGAGATTTGTGGTGGGTCTTTCTCAGAGATTCTTGAGAATTTCAATTGCTTCCAAATGAGCATTTGAGAATCATCCATTTAAGTGTATTATGAGGTGTTCATATTGACCTTCTTGATCTCCTTTGTCCATAGCTCCTCCAGTTCTGCCACCTAACAATTATCATTGTTGTATAAAGACAGTGCTATAAGACACATATTTTCATAGTTTCTGTTTCTCCACCAAATAGTTGTGCTAAGTTTGAATTATTTCTTCTAGTCCTTTTGTAGGCAGCCCATGTTTAAAAACAAAACAAGCTGAAATTAAGAATGCAGTTGTGGGGCTGGGGTTGTAGCTCAGTGGTAGAGCCCTTGCCTAGCATATGTGAGGCACTGAGTTTGATCCTCAGCACCATATAAAAATAAATAAAGGTACTGTGTCCATCACAACTAAAAAAAAATATTTTAGAAAAATGCTGGGCTGGGGATGTGACTCAAGCGGTAGCGCGCTTGCCTGGCATGCGTGCGGCTCGGGTTCGATCCTCAGCACCACATACAAAAAAAAAAACAAAGATGTTGTGTCCGCCGATAACTAAAAAATAAATATTAAAATTCTCTCTCTCTCTCTCTCTCTCTCCCCCTCCCTCTCTCACTAAAAAAAAAAGAAAAGAAAAAGAAAAATGCAGTTGTGGTTCTGGAATAAAAATTATACTGGTTCATATATTAACCAAACTTGTATCTTAATCTTATTGATATCATACTAGCTAAATTACAACCTTAATAATCCAGGATGGATCAAGGGGTGCCACTCTTTTGGCACTTGAGAAGGTGGATGCTAAAGTACGTGTTTTAGGTACTTTGCAAAGGTAGAAAAAGTCTTCCCATGATATCAGAAATACTGGGCACAGCTAATGAACAAATACTCTTCCTACAATATAGTTCCAGGCCAGACTTTTATATAATATTGTGCTAAAAGAATATTTTCTGTAATAAAAGAATATTTTACAAATGATAGAATTTATTTATAATTGAGTTGGGGATGTATCCTAGGGGTAGAGCACTTGCCTAGCATGTGTATAGGGTCCTGAATTTGATTCCCAGCACAGAAAAAAAAATTAGCTATAATCAACACTTGTGAAACACTCAGTAGGTTCTATAGCAACTAGTTCATTCTTACATGTGGTTAATAATAATACATATCTTAATATGTACTTTATATGATGTTTTGCAATATGAAAACAAAAAAATACATTTTAGAGTAAAAAGGACTACAGCATGATTATCTATCTATACATGAAATATAATCTTTGCCTACTTCTGAGACTCCATCTACTTTCTCATTTTTCTAAACAACAACAACAACAACAAAAAGAATGAAAGGAACAGGAGAGTAGCTCAGTGGTAAGGCCTGCTTAGTATGCATAAGGCCCTGGAGGCTGTTTAACAATATAAGAAAATGTATGACCTCTAAACTAGGATACCACAGAAGGAAGACCAAAGCTCCATCTACATCTGCAAAACATTGTAACAACATGAAAATACTTTTGGAAATGTTGGTATGGGTAAATCTAAATAGATAATTTTTGGAAAATACAAAGTTGTCCTAACAACCTGGTATGGTTTGGAAGAGTGTCCCTCAAAGATACAAGTATTAAAGGTTTGCTCCACGGGGTGGTGGTATTGGGAAGTGATAGAACCTTTTAGAGGCGGAGCCTAGTGGGAGTCCTTTTGGTCATGGGGATGGGAGGAATTACCTCAAAGGGGATTATGGGATCATAGGGATTTGCTTTCTAGCTCCTAAAGTGAGTAGTTTGCTCTACCACACACTCCTGCCTTTAAGTGCTATCTTTGCCAGGGGCCCAGAGCAACAGGCAACTAAATTTTGGACTGGAACCCCCAGAACCATGAGCCAAAATGAAACTTTTCTTTTTATGAGTTAATTGCCTCAGATATTTTGTTACAATCATGGAAAGCTGACTAACACATCTATAGATGGTAAGAATGGTGTTTCTGTTTCTTAAGATGGGAATGGGATTATGGGAGATTCACTCAGTTCCCATAGCAATAGGTCAGAGCAGTCTGAAATATAATTCCCTCCTAGCAGTTCTTCTGGATATTCAGATTCCTGAGTCTGTAAGTGTAATGAGATTATGTTTGAGGATGCTATGGGGATATGTTAAAGTTGTTTGCTCTTTTAGTAATCAGCCTGATTTAAATTTCAAAAAGCAAAGATTTACATTTTTTATTTTATAGAAAATAACTAAAGTCTTTCTAAGGAACTGAAAGAGTACAAAAGTCATCCCACCTCTGCTCAAACACCTTCAGTGACAGTGACTTCCTTACTAAATAAGACAGTGCCATCTGTCCCCTTGCTTCCAAATGGAAACATTACTTTGAACATTCTGTAACTTTTTGTTCACATGCTTAATGGAGTTGGCAAGACAAAGTTCCTCCATGTGGATGGCTGTGAAATATGTCTTTGCCACAAGATATTTTACCCAGAAATGAAATACAGCATAATGGCATAAACAGATACTAGACCCAACTTTGTGAGCTATTAGCCTGATCTACTTCTATGAGCTGTGTAATATGCAACAAATTATTTATCTATACCTCAGATTACCCATCTGTAAAATGGGAATAATACTATTTGCTATACTTTGGATCTTTGTCTCCCAAAGGTCATGTGTTGAAGGCTTGGTCATCAGCCTCAGGCACTATTGGGAAGTGTTGGAATCTTTAGGAGGTGAGCCTGGTGGAAGGAAGTTAGGTCACCAAGGGCGTTGCTCTTGAAGGGTATATTGGAAATGCTGTACTCTCCCATTTTTATTTCCTTTGTAGTACTGGGGTTTGAACCGAGGATCTCAAGCAGAGCAAGCACTCTATTAAATTACCGCTGAGCTACCTCTCCAACCCCTCTCTTCCTCTCTTCTCTCCCTGCTTCCTGGCAATTGTAGCTACCTCTGCCACTTCCTCCAACGATGAAGAATATGGCCTTGCCACACACTACATGCAATAGGGCATGAGCTAGAATAAATAATTTCCTCCTTTGGAATTGATTATCTCAGGTATTTTCCACTTCAGTGGAAATGTAACATACTGCTATTTACCTTCTGTGGTTGTGAAGATGAAATGGGTCAATGTGTGTATACTGTTTAAAATAATGCTTGCTAAACATGAGTGATCAATGATTACTATTACCTCCCACCTCACTACTCCCTCTCAAAGAATTGCCCAGCATGAAAAACAAATAGCGCTTCAATTCTCTGGACCAGGAATCAGTAAATTACATCCTATGGGAATTCTGGCCTATCACTAGTTTTATACAGCCCATAAGCTGAGAACGGCTTTTATATTTTTAAATGGTTGAGGAAAAAAAATCCATAGGAGGAAAATATTTTCTCATACATGAAAATTCTATGAAATTCAAATTTTAGTTTCTATGATGGTTTTACTGGAACACAGCCACACTCATTTAAGTGTTGTCTGCAACTGCTTTCATGCTATGTCAGCCGAGTTTAGTAGTCACAAAAGAGAACATAAGGTCCTCAAAGACTCAAATATTTACTCTCTGTCCCTCCACAGAGTTTGCTCTTAATGATTGCTCTCCGAGCTCTGCCTCAGCTGGTCTTACTGCTCCCCAGGGTTCTCACCGCTGGGACCCTAGTGGCTGACCACAGAAAAGAACCTACAAAGAACAATTTCATTTTTTTCTGTATCTTCCTCTTTGATATTAGAGCTATAATAAGTTGGGGTCATATGTGAGGTGAATGCAGTGCTGTACTAAGAAAAAAGGAAAGGGAGGAAAGAGGGAGAGAGAGAGGAAAGGGAAGGGGACAGGAAGGAAGGAGGGAGGTTCAGTCAGTCCAGAGTAGAAAGGAAGAAATAAGGATTTTTTAAGTGTAACTCCTAAGAAAGATAGTAATAGAATATTCTAAATTTAGATATTCTTAGAATGCATGCTTCAATTTTGGTAATGTTTTTAAAGACAGCACAGTTAGCTTTACTATTTATGAAGGAGACATAAGGATGTGAATTCATAAATAGATAAAATTAACTAGTGCTTTTCTGAAGTGAGGTCAAATACTTATCTAAATTTAACATCTTTTTCCCATTTACACAGGAAAATTTATACAGTTCTTGTGGAATAAAAGGATCGAACTTAAGTCCTAAACTTTGATTTGATTTGATTTTCATGTTTTTGCAGTACTAGAGATCAAACCCAGGGCTTGTGCTTGCCAAGCAAGCACCCTACCCCTGAGCTATAGCCCTAGCCCTAAGTGATTCTTACACACATTGGTATCTCAGAAAAATGCATACATGGCCAATGACATCATCTTTTGATTCTACCAATAACCTACAATGTGTGTTATAACAAAATCTGCCTTACAGCTGCACACCTCAGCAGCACCCCCTCACTTCCTGCAGGTCAATACTAGAGATTTCTCCAGTGCAAAGGGTGACAGTTGATTCAGGCAATGCAGAACAGTCCTGCCTTTGATGTTGTTCGATTATCAGTAGGCTATTTGATGTCCTGTCTATCTACTGATATAGCAAACTTTCTTGTGCTTTATACCTTTTAAAGTAAGATCTACTGGAAAAAATATTAATTTACAAAGCACTTTCACTTTCAGTCTAACATATCACCTTCAGAGCAAACCACAGGGAAAAAGCAAAGCTCAGCGAATTGCCCAAAATTGCACACCTAATAAGTAATGAAGCCAAGACTTACATCCACATCTGGCCTTAAGTTCAGGGCACCTTTCTGAATAACTGTAGTGTTTAAAAGCACAGTCTGGAGGCACAGAGAGGGCTTTGACTCTGCCAGAGTGAACTTGGGTAAATTACTTACTCTCCAATCCCATGTGCAAACAAGAGAATATAATGAAAACTAACATACTGGTTTTAGTAAAGTGACAATACCAGAACACGTGCAAAGTGCTCAGCAAGCTGCCTGGCATCAGGCTCCCTTCATGTTCACTATCATTTGCAGTGCCGAAAGGATGAATGTCTTCGGACATGAGGAGGATGCCAAGGGAAAGGCTGGTATAAGAGAATTTCCAAAGGTCACCCAGGCCTGGGTGATGCACTTACCATCTGAGATGGATAGAAATAAGTGAGAGAAGATGAAGAGCATGAGACTCGGAGGGTAGTGCTACCATTGATGGTGGAGACTTGGAGGTGAGCAAGTGGAATGAATGGGAGGTGTCCTAAGCATAGGGAATAATGGAGGCTGAGAACCAAGCTCAAAAGGAGGCAATTATTCACCATAGAGATTGTCATTCCCAGAGAGGGAGTCATTAATGTTTCCACCTCTCATTTTAGGGTCACTGGGGGAGAAGGACATGAGGCTGAAGGACTGGACTTTGGTATAGGTATGTGATGACCAAGTAAGTTCTGTTGAGCCGGGAACAAAATGCATATCCCAGAAACAAGTGGGGAGACTTGAAGAAGACTGATTGGGAATGGTTTGAGTGTGTCCCCCAAGAATTCATGTGTGGGAAGCTTGGTGCCCAGTGTGGCCATACTAAGAGGTGGCTGGACCTTTAAGAGGTGGGACTTAGTGGAAGTTGGATAGGTCATTGGGGGGCATTGCCCTTAGAAGGGATTAAGGACAATTAACTCATGAGATCCTGAGTTAGTTCTCACAACAGTGGGTTATTACAGAAGAGCAGGCCTTGACTCCTTCTCTGGCTTCCTGTCTTAACATGTGATCTCTCCCTCTTGCATATGCTCCCACCATGATGCCATCTGCCATTAGGCCCTCACCAGAGGCCAAATTAATGGGATACCTGATCTTTCAGCCTCCAAAATGCTGAGCTAAATAAATCTTTTTAAAATTTCTTCTATCGATATGTAAATATAAGGGGTAAACTTTTCTTTAAATAAACTATCCAGCTTCAGGTATCTCATTATGACAATGGAAACAGATTATAATACAAGGGAACCCCATTAACTCAGACTCACTGGTCAATGAGAATGAAGTAGCCATGGGTTTCACAGAATGAAGGTTGTATCATGAAAGTTCTTCCATTTCTATCATTAACTACAGTGGCATACAATAAGAAGCCTAAAGAGGTTGTCATTGTGAAGGAGACAGTATCATACTAACTATGGATAGATAATGCATTGCCAGAGGTCTAGGCCAAGTTTAATTGGCAAAATGTGTTGCTAGTTATTAAAAGTTCCCAGAGATGTTGAAGACTGAATAGGCTTCCAATGGGTAGAGAGGAGAGGGCATTCCAGGTAAAGGGGACCATATATGCAGAGGCTGGGGAACGTGACAGCACAACAAATTCCAAGACAGAGGAGTGCCACAAAATACAAAACATGTGGCGGCTGGGGCTGTAGCTTAGTGGCAGAGCACTGGCCTAGCATAAAAATAAACAAATAAACACCACATAAAAATAAACAAATAAAATAAAGTCATTCTGTCCACCTACAACTACAAAAAAATTTTTTAAAGAAAAATATATACATTTGTGGGGCCAGTGAGAATAAAGCTAGAAAAGCAGGTTGAAGCAAGATTAAGAAAGGTCATAGATACCATGCTGAAGAGTTCTTAACTAATTTTTCTTTATAAACGATCCAGCCTCAGGTATCAGGAAACAGTTATCGACAACTTTTGAAAATGAGTGAGACATGGTTAAATCTATGCTTTAGAATATCAGGATGGGGGCTACAGTTGTGGCTCAGCAGTAGAATGCTCACCTAGTCTGTTTGGGGCTCTGAGTTCGATCCTCAACACCACATAAAAAATAAATAAATAAAAGTATTGTGTCCAACTACAACTAAAAAGTAAACATTTAAAAAAAAAAGAATATCAGGATGTAGTGCAGGGGCATCAGGGTAGGTCAAGAGACCTCTGTAGCAACACAGAAAAATGACTGTACAGGTCTGAAGAGGGTGGTGATCTGAGTGAGAGGGAGTAGGGAAAAGGAAATTCCCCTGAGTCAGGGCCTAACAAGGAGTGGTGAAGGGTACATTGAGGGATTTGAGACTGGGCATTGGTATCAGGTAGCACCTTCCAGAACCTAAGAAAGACTGAAGGTGTCTCAGGTGCCAGTGAGAAAGAGAGAGCTCTAGGGAAGGATCAAAGAAGAAAGGGAGGGATCAAAGATGACTAATTCATAGCCTGGGTACCTACATGGCTACTGATGTCATCATCCAAATTAGAGGGATGCACATTTGCTATGAGAAGTGTTTCAGATATGGTAGGATGAAGCTTCTAAAAGCCAAAGTTTTAAAATCAAATTTATCAAGGTGTAATTTACATAAAATAAAATGCACCTATTTGATGTGTATAGTTCAATGAATCTGACAAATGTAAACACCTGTGCAAGCAGCTTCATGGGTATATGAAACCTAAGTATTCACACTAGGTCCTATTTTCAGAAGGGCCTTTTGCTTTGGGTTTAAAGCTGAATTCATGGTGCCAAAGCTTTCTTTGAACTTGGGTTTTATAAATGCAATCTGATGGGACAATGAAGCATTTGGGGGGAGGGGTTTAGAGCCTTAGCTTTTGCTGAGTCTCTTTCTTATCACCGTCCATGACCCCCAATCTTTACCCTATCCCACCCCTACTTCAGGGCAGGGCAGGGCTGCACCCCAGCACATTCAGAGACTGATGAACATCTTCCCTAACATGGTACCAAACACATTCCTGACACACACACTTCAATCCCTTAGGGCTCATCCATCCGTTATCCCCTAAGAAGGGGAGTGTTCCAGTATATAAGGAAACATAACATTAAAGAGCAAATTAATCCAGCGTGATAAGTTGATAGAGGACACAGAAAAAAAGTTTTATAATTAAGTACCTTTAGTAGTGTCCTTTCCTGCTTCCCTCCATTTTTATTTTGCACTGAACCTTGCAAATTATATAGCTAGCCCTGCACCTGTGTATACCACCACCATTAGGATGAAGAATATTTTCATCAAGAAGAATATTTTCTTCTCGGTCCTTTACGGAGTCAACACACCATAGTGGCAAAACCCAACCACAGGTCTCCTTTCAAGACGGCTGAATTTAAAAATTTGCAGCAGGGCTCTGGAACTAGGGAAAGCAGGAATAGAAGAATTCTGCTCCCCCTTTTCTCTTGGGGCCTGTACCGGAGTCTTAGAAACATTTCCTCCACGTTGTTCTCACTTCTACCCTCAAAGTCCTTATTCTGATTTTCCAAAAGAGGTCACCACGTTTCTCCAAGGTAAGCCCAGAGAGCGTCGCAACTCTCACTCACCCTAGTCGGTCCACTCCAAGGCTGGTACCGCCCACGCCCGAACACCGCCCGCGGCCCGCCCCTTCGCCAAGTGCCCAGCCGGGTCTCACAGCCCCAACCCAGACGCCCCAGAACCAAGCAGGTGTCCTGGACGTTCGTGGCCACCGTCGCCATCGTTGGAGGTGATGGCTCAGCCAGCACGGCGCGGTCATCCGGGCAAAGAAAAAGCTCCAGGGCCGGCGAGCGCCAGCGCGCATCCCAGAACAGCCAGGGTGGGCTCCACCGCCGCTCTCCAGGCCCGGGTGCCTTGGCAACGGGTAAACACTGAGCGGCCCCGCCCCGCGGCGCGCGCTGGTGGCGTTGTGCGCACGAATCCCGCCCCCGAGGGGCGCGAGCCCCGCGCAGGGATCCTGCCGGCTCGGTGTAACGCGTGTGGGTGCCTGGCGTGGCCAAGTAGGCGCCTGGTGTGCTGGCGGCTAGGTGGCTAGCTGTCCCCTGAACACGCTGGGCTGCCCCAAGTCCCCGCGCGCCGCCTGGCGGGTTCCTTCCTGGGAGGCGCCGCCGAGGCCCGAGAGGGCGGCGGTTCGCTGGCGAGTGGGCAGGAGGAGGCGGGGTAGACGAAGAATTTGGGCTGCCTTCTGCTTTTCGGGACTGGGAATCACACGTCTTACTCACCCGCTCAGCTGAGAAAGAAATGACCATGGTAATACCCGTCTTGTGGAAGTAGGAGTTTCCCAGGCACTCGCTCCTTTGCTTTAAGCCCGCCAGCGTTTGAGAGGAGTGCTTTCGCCGAGATCGTCTCCAGTCCGCGTGGGTGGGTGGTGTCTGACCCAGCTGTCTGAACGGGCGATGTAAGATGGTGGGAGAGTGATCCCGGGTGGTCTGAGCCTGCTAAGGGGGATGGGAGCAGCAAAATCAGGCTGAGATCTTCTTCTGTTAAGTGTCAGGTTGCCGTTCCTTGGTTCTGTTGCAAAATTGTCACACCCAGAAGATTTTTTTTGGGGGGGGGGTGGGAGGAGAGGGAGATCGGCAAAGTTGTATGGAACCCAAGAACGCCAGTACAAGCCAACAGCGACTGGCTCAGGCACTTGGCTGCTCTTCCGCTCCAGAGTCCCTTGTGGGATGCGCTGTTGACTCAAGTAGAAGGCAGCCCTGGTCCCACCACCTGCGCTGCCAGCCCTCACAAGCATTCCTGCTCCTTGGTCCTCCTTAACCCTCACTGTTCTTTCTATAACGTCTGTGACCTTATAACATCCCATGTCATCTGCTTAAGCAAAACAAAACAAAACCCACATCCCACAGTAGACCCACGTGCTTCTGAAAGTCTCCTGAACCAGACTCACCTCAAGCTATTGCTCTTTCAATTTTTTTTTTAATAAGACCCAGCCCAAAGTGCCTCCTTATGTAGCCCTTTGCACCTCACTTAAGGTGCTTTTTGCTTGTTTTGCCTTGGAAAGTCTTACTCCTTATCCCCATTAGATTGTAGTGAAAAAATGTGTTTGATAAGCCTCTGTGGGTCTTCCAGTTCCTTGAATGAAAGGCACTAGGTAAATATCTCTTGATTTAGGAGAGTCATTCCTGAGTTACCCGCACATGTTTAATACTGCCATTTTCTTTTGGGGCCCAAGGAACTGAAGCAGAATGGTTTACACAGTCATTTAAGCTAATAACTTCCTTTGGCCCTTGGAATCAAGGTCAAACAAATTAGTTGACAGAGCCTTCAAACAAAGCTATGCCCTACCTACCTTTCTAGACTCAGCTGGTCCCCCAGGTTGCCTGTAGACTGGCCACATTAATTGTTTGGTTTTTTGGGCCCTTCAACTCTACATATTTTCTACTACCTCGGATCCTTTACCATAGTTATTCCTTTTTACTGTTCATTAATGCTCCATTGTATGGTTGTACCACAATTTATTTATTCATTTTTCTGCTGATGGACATTTGGGGTGTTTCCAGATTTTTGCTGTTACAAGTAAAGTCTTTAAATTGAAAATACTTTCATTCTCTTGGATAAATACCTTAGGAAATGGCTGGGTCATACGATAGGAATGTGTTTAACTTAATAAGAAACTGCCAAACTGTTTTCCAAAGTGGTTTTGTCATTTTAGATTTCCATTGGCAGTGTGTATGAGTTCCATTTCCTCCGTATCCTCACCAACACTTAGTATGGTCAGTCTTTTTAACTTGGACCATTCTAATATTATTAGTATTATTTTCTGGTTTTAATTGTATATGTCTACTAACTTAATGATGTTGCATATCCTTTCATGTACCTATTTTCCTTTTTTTTTTTTTTGGAGTCTATTCAAATCTTTTGCCTATTTGTATTGGGCATTTGTATTTTCTTACTATTGTGTCTTTAGAGTTCTTTATTCTAGATATAGGCCTTTATCAGATATGTGATTTACAATTTTTTTTTTCCAGTATGTGGCTTGGCTTTTCATTCTCTCAAATGATCTCCTGGCATCCTATACATAGAACACCTCAATGTAAGTTTTTATAGGTGTCCATTATATAGGTTCCTGATACATGAGTTAATATATTTTAAAATTTTCTTTAGTTGTAGATGGACACAAATATCTTTATTTATTTTTATGTGGTGCTGAGGATCGAACCCAGTGCCTCACACATGCTAGGCAAGCACTCTGCCACTGAGCTACAGCCCCAGCCCTGAATTATCTTATTATATTGTTTTAAATTTAATTTTTTTTAAAGAGAGAGGGAGAGATAGAGAGAATTTTTTTAATATTTATTTTTTAATATTTGGCGGACACAACATCTTTGTTGGTACATGGTGCTGAGGATTGAACCCGGGCCGCACGCAAGCCAGGTGAGCGCTCTACCGCTTGAGCCACATCCCCAGCCCTTAAATTTAATTTTTTGTGAAAATTTATTATTATATACAAAAAACAGAATAGTAAAATGAATCCCCATGTATCCATTTCTCATATTCAGAAATTTTAAAGATTTGGCCACATTTACTTCATCTATCCCTTACTGGAGAGTAGGGCAAATCTCAGGTCTTCTTTGATTTTATCCTTGCAGATTTCAGTGTACATCTCTGAGACATGTGTTTTCTTTTGTAACCCAATGCCATTATCAACTCTAACAGAATTCATTATCCTCTGATACTATCAAATTTTTCTTATTTCCTAAAAAAAAAAAATGCCTTTTTGCAGCTATTCAAATCAGAAGACAAACAAGGGTCACACATTGTGTTGGGTCTCTTTTAATAGGGGGTGCTTACTAAATATTTGTCACATTAGCTGGCATGTGACATCTCCTATTCCATGAAAATTTTCTGTTGTTTGGATTTTTTTCTTAAATTCAACAAGGGAGTGTTGAAAGTCATCTCAAGTTTATAGACACTAACTGCCACACTCTATTTGTCCTTGTCTTCAAAAGCCAGGTAAAGAGAAGAAAGGAAAAAGCCACAGAAAGTCTCGTGGGAAGAAGCAGAAGAAGCCCGAGGTGGACATCCTCAGCCCCGCGGCCATGCTGAACCTCTACTACATCGCACACAACGTGGCCGACTGCCTGCATCTGCGAGGCTTCCGCTGGCCAGGGGCTCCCAAAGGGAAAAAAGGGAAGAACAAGACTTAAGTGATAGAGTTCTCCGCGCTCAGAGAACAACTTGGGGAAGAGAAATCAAATAACGCGACCCTGCAGGCAAAATAGACTTTACTGAAGACACCTTGAAATGCAAGCTCAGGGTGCTTTCTATGGTAAATAATGGTGAAGAAATGCCTTTTACTTCCTCAGTTAAGCTAGGCATGGTTAGCCACTTTGGATTTTCAGAAGTTAAGGGGAAAAACTTGAACAATTCTTACACCATGTGATGGGATTGATAGTCCTTTAAAAATTTATTATCATAATTCTGGGCCAGAAATTAAACCTTGCTCTCAAAAGGCAGTTCCAGTTTGCACGAGTTATTTTCTTTTGCTAAAAGGGGTCTGTTATTTAGAGAAGATACGGCAAAAAAAGCACAGGCTTTACATTATAATCACCCCTTTCTTGGGCACTGTTTCTTTTTTCTTTATTTTTTTTCAGTGGTGCTAAGAATGAACCCAGAGCCCGACACATACTAGGCAGGTCTCTACCACTGAGCTACATCCACAGTCCTCTCCTGCACCCCCCACTTTTTTTTTTTTTGAAAATAAATATTTTATTTCTGTAATTTTTTTCTCAGTAGTCTGATTCTGGTTTGAATTAGCCACAGAGCCAAATGGATATTAAGATTGTCACTAGTGCTCTGACCTTACTGGGCATGTAAGCTTGTGATGAAAAGGATCTGACAATGTGTAGTGGGTTGGGTACAGAGAGAAGGAATGAATTGTGGACTCAGGCCTTTCCTCTTTTGTGTCATCTGACTTGTCTCCACTTCTCCTGCACCCTTAGATTTCTTCACACCTTCTGCCACCTTTAAACTTAAATGACCCTGAGTCATGAACTGGTGACTGGAAACTAGCCATTATTATTTGGCTGAGTTTCCAAGATCTCCTCAGCTTTGTGAGGAGACTTTAATAGACAAAACTGGCTGAGTACTGTGTTGCATGCCAGAGACTGTGATAGGAGGATTGCAAGTTCAAGGCTAGACTTGGCAACTTAGTGAGACTGTGTCATCATCATCATCATCATCATCATAATAAATGAAATAATGATGAAGAACTACCTTTACTTTCTCAGGTAAGGTAGGCATGGTTAGCCACTTTGGATTTTCAGAAGTTGGTGGGGGGGGACTCAAATAATAAAAAATGAAAAGGGCTGTAGCTCTGGTAGAACACTTGTCTGCTATGTGTGGGGCTCTGAGTTCAATCCCATACACACACACACACACAAGAAAGAGAAAGAACTGCATTTTTTCTCCTTGCCCCCAAAGGCCTCAGTGCCCTTTTAAGTTTAAATATCATCTCTGAGTCAGCATTTCGTCCCTGCCTCTTATTCTGCCTTCCTGTCCCAACTCACTGCTTCCTCTGATCCCACCACTCTGACACCTACATTGGCTCCCTTCACACTTTTAACCTTAAAGCTGATTGAGCACCATTCTAGGGATGTTCTAGTTTGACTGAATTACTTATAGTTATGTTCAGTGTGCCTTGTGGTGATCTCAGAGATTCACAGTGTTTTTAAAGGAAGGCTGCAACCTAGGATTCAGTATTTCACAAATGTTAGAAAAAGGAAATTCATGAATCATTTTACTAGAGAACTGGGGTGATCATAACCCACGTGAGCTTGTTGGGAGTGCCATTTATATACTGTACTCTCTGTACTAATGCAGTGTAAGCTCTTGGCCAGTTGCCAGAGGAGCCTTCCTTTTGGAGAACCTACAGAGAGATCTTGTGTTTACTGTGATTGTAGGCTTTAGAAACAAGGCGCACCTTCCTCCCCAGTTAGAGACTGCTAACTCTAGTTCATTGCCTCTCAGTCATCTGGAAGATTTTATCAAAAGTACAGATTGCATTCAGGTGTGTTGGTGCATACCTGTAATCCCACTGGCTCAGAAGGCTGAGGCAGGAGGATCGTGAGTTCAAAGCCAACCTTAGCAACTTAGTGAGGCTAAGCAACTTAGTGAGACCCTGTCAAAATAAAATATAAAAAGGTCCAGTGAAGAAGGCTGATTCCATTATAGTTGAGAGCAGTTAGATTTCTGTTTCCACTTTGATTTATCAATGCATTATACAGTTTATGAAGGTGATTAAGAGGAGGATGGAACTAAGATCTTTATAGGACACCTGAAGGGCATCTGATGGGAGAATGGATCCTTTATTTTCCCTAAACCTAAATCAGCAAGGATTCTGAATCATCCTATAGTGGAGGATTCAAAGAGGAACTTGTGAAAGCAGCTTCTAACTTGTGTTAAAACATATGCAGGCCCAAAGGATCACCTGGAAGTGGCAAGGGTTGAAATGAAGGCACATGATTTGAGACTCTCAGGGCTTTTTATGAGGAAGGCTCTATTCAAGGATGAGGATGGAATTTAAAAGAGAAGGGATCAGCAACTCTAGGAGGAGGCAGAGTCCACTGAGGAGGAGGGAAGTTTGGCCAATGGCATGAGAAAAGAGAATGAACTTTAAAATGGAAGGGCCTCATCTAAAACCAATGACTTATAAAAGAGAGAATGACAAGGTGATATCAGTGAGGATGTGGAGAAATTGCAACCCACACATGTCACAGTGGGAATGTAAAGGATGGTACTGTGTAGAAAACAGTTCAGTTCTAAAGTATGTAAGTAGAGTTACATATGATGTAGCAGTTTCACTACTGGTTATACGTGAAAGAATCTGAAAACACATATTCAAAAAACACATACTTGGGGCTGGGGCTCCGTGGTAGTGCACTTGCTGGCATGTGTGAGGGACTGGGTTCGATTTTTAGCACTGCATATAGATAAATAAAGATCTATCAACAACTAGAAAAAATATTTTTAAAAAACATACTCAAAAGCTTATAATGAATGTTCAGAACAGCATTCTATTTAAATTTTGCTTTTAGTTGCCAATGGACCTTTATTATTATTTATTTGCGGTGCTGAGGATCGAAACCAAGGTCTCACAAATACTTGGCAAGCACTCTTTAACACTGAGCTACAACCTTGGCCCCCAGAACAGCATTCTTAACAACCTAAAAGTAAAAACAACCTAAGTGTATGTTGATTATCTATATTCAACATATATTTGAACATAAATTATTATTTATGGAATATTATTTGAACATAAAAGGAGGTAGTGACACATGCTATAGCATGAATAAACCTTGAATGTGTTATACTAAGTAAAAGAAGCCAGACACAAAGGCCATATATTGTATAAATCCATGTATATGAAATGTTTCAAATAGACAAGTCCATAGAGACAAAAAGTAGATTATTTTTTGTCGGAGGAGAATAGAAAGTGATTGCTAATGGGTAGGGGTGCTGAAAATGCCCTGGGATTGGATAGTAGAGACATTCGCACAATCTTGTGAATGTACTAAATTTCACTGAATTTGTACACTTTGAAAGGGAGCTGTTATGGTATGTAAATCATGTCTCAAACTGATCGCACCTGAAAGGGTCCCAAAAGACTGGGAGATAAAGGAGTGAGTCCCAGTGCCAGGTAGGTGGCTCAAACAGATTAGGCAGAAGAAGAAGGACCAAATTCTGATCAAATCCCCTCAGCTAGATGCCTGGTCAGGTAAACTTGGGAGCCATAGCAGAAGTAGGGGCTTCTGACTGGCAGGTTTTTTTTTTTTGTTTGTTTATTTGTTTAATTTTTTTAAAAGAGAGAGAGAGAGAATTTTTTTTAATATTTATTTTTCAGCTTTTGGTGGTCACAACATCTTTGTATGTGTCGCTGAGGATCGAACCCAGGCCACACTCATGCCAGGCAGGCGCGCTACCGCTTGAGCCACATCCCCAGCCCTGACTGGCAGTTTTTATATCCTGCACAGGGAAATTCTGCCAGAGCCCAAACTTCCCATCTTTATTTAAGTTCCAGTTGCCATTACCTTTTCTACCTACCCATCTCTGGACCTTATACTCAGTGGGCCACAGGATTTCTCTCTTAAGGGGAAATATCCCCACCCCTCACATATTTTTATTCTGAGACTGAACCCTCTACAAGGGCACAAGAAGATGTATTCATTAACATTATGTTACTACAATGAAACACTTGAGACAATTAACTTTATAAAAAGAACAGGTGTATTTCAGAGTCCTAATGAAATAGTGTGGGCTTGGTGATGATTGCCTCTTGATTTCATTACCCATGGTGCAGATGACATTGGTGGGAGGTACTTAGTCCAGCAAGAAGCATATCTTGAGGAGGAAGAAGAGAGATGGCAGGGAAGTGGGACAGATGATCTGCAGGTTTCCACAGTCTCTTTTGAAGGCGTGTCTACAATGACCAAAGGACCTCCTATTAGGCTCCACCTTTAAAAGGTCCACAGCACCTCCCAGTGTCAACACCCTGAAGATCAAGCCTCTATAAAACCAATTTCTTATTGAAATAGTCCAACCTTAAGTTTGTAGATCTTTCCAGCTTTGTCATTTCCTGCAGCCTTGTAAGGCTCCCACTTTCCTCATAGTGACCATTCCATGATCCTGCACTTTCATTACTCCAACCCTCTGGAGTTTACTGCTAAATAATTTAACCTATGAGAGAATTCAACCACATGGCCCATTCTGCAAGCCCACACACCCACAAATATGTCTCCTGATTCATCTCCTCCCACTCCTTAAGCCTCCACCACCCAGGGAAAGTGAGGCTTAGTCAAGAAAGCAAAAAAGAGGCAGGACCTGGATATTTCTATCTTAATTTAAAAATTAACTTTTATGGCCATGCATCGTGGTGTATGCCTATAATCAAAGAACTCAAGAGGCTGAGGCAGGAAGGTTGCAAGCTCAATGCCAGCCTGAATTCAAAGGGCTGGGGATGTAGCTCAGTGATAGAGCACCCCCTGGGTTCAATTCCTGGTGTCTGTCTGTCTGTCTGTCTGTCTGTCTGTCTCTCTCTCTCTCTCTCTCTCTCTCTCTCTCTCTCTCTCTCTCTCTCTCTCTCTCTCACACACACACACACACACACACACACACACATGCTTTTTTTTGAAAATTTATAAACATACACAAAATAAGTGCAATAAACCCCATCTCCAATAACTTACAATATTTTGTCATACTCATTTTGTCTATCCCTTATTATTTAGTTTGTTCATTAGATACACTCAAAAGCAAATCAAAAAATTTTAAATCAAAATTTCTTTTCTGAATACTTCAGCATCCTTGATATTTTATTTTTTAAAAAATTATTTATTTTTTTAGCTGTACACAACACCTTTATTTTGTTTATTTATTTTTATGTGGTGCTGAGGATCGAACCCAGGGCCTAGACGGGTGCTCTACCACTGAGCCACAACCCCAGCCCCATCCTTGATAT